AAAAAAAAAAAAAAAAAAAAAAAAAGAAAATGTATGTAGCCACCACAACTAAAGGACTGGTAAGCAGCAATACATTAAATTTTTGTGTTTAGGTTTAGATACTTGCAAGTTCTTTTACTTTGTCTAGATCGTGCAAAATACAGGGTTGCCCTCAAAGATTTAATAAAGATAAAGTAAAAGCCTAAGGCAGGTTTATAAATAGGAACATATACATCTTATAAAATGTGGGAAAAAACATTTCGGTTTGAACATATATAATAGTAATAATGTTGATAAAGAGACAAGCTTGTCATTTATCAGACAAGGGAGTCTGTACCTGGTAAACATAACCTGCTTATTCTTTTTTTTTTCTTTTACAATTACAAAATTAGGAAACTTTACTCACGTGTAAAGTCCCTGAATCCGTAAAGTCCAGCTGAAGTCCCATTTGGTCACAAAATTGTATCAAGTCATTTAGCAACTTAGTCTGTGGAGCTGGGTGACGGCGAAGCAATGCCTCTGCTGGAAAATTATGGTAGATTTTATGTGCAACTGCCATGTTTGCAAGAAGCATGAACTCTTCAACCAGCCTGCAAAGAAGTAAAGTTCACAATTACATCCTTATGTACTAAACATTTGTAACCAACAGTGACCTTCAGCCCAAAATATTGCCTTTAGATTCTCAAAATCATAAATAGGGTGCACCTAAATTTCACACATTCTAAAATATAATAAAATATATTTTCTGAAAGTGAAACCCTGTAAAATAAAAAATGGCAGCTGCTTTTTTTTTATTTTACATGATTTTCCCTGATGTACCCGATAATCCCTTATGTCTTCCCTGCCCTCCCAAAAAGGTGATTGTGCTTGATCGTACCCAGGATTGTGCTTGATCGTCTGTTTACCCAGCACTTCAGCTGGGTATGCGACAGCTCTGAAGCAGGAAGCGCAGAGTGGCACAGTCACTGGCTAGTACATGTGATTGGGTGGCTGCACAGCTGCTCAGATTACTTATACTTTGACAAGCTTTGCCTGCTGGAAAACATTCCAAGATCACCGCTACTGCAGCCGCCATGATCTTGGTATATAATTAGGGCTGCAGCTATTATTTTCATAATCAGTTAGCCAATTATTAATTTCGATCAAATCGGATACAATAAAAAATAAAATTAATTTAAAGGAGAACTATGGAGGCGAGTGCTTTTCACTCACCTCATAGTTCTAGCCGACCTGTGACAATGAGACTGTCACAGGTCGGCTCAGTAGATCGGGAGGTGAGCGAACACATACCAGCGTTTGCTCACCTCTTGATTCCCCCCTCTCCGCCAGCGCTGACTGGCGGATCGGATGGGGGAGGGTACAGCTGGCTCTGCCTCAGGATAGGCAGAGCCAGCTGTCACTCACGCAGCTAGGCGGATCCAGACATAATTGTCGGGATCCGCTTCAGCTGCGGCGTCTCAGTATACCGCAAGCTGTAGCTCGCGGTATACTGAGCTTAGGGTGACGGGAGGACGCTAGTTTGTGTTCTCCCGTTACCCGGAGAACTATGGGGAAAAGCCTTAACCCTATAGTTCTCCTTTAAATGAAAATACACAAATGCAGCGTTAAAAAGTTTACTTCCAAATAAAACAGTATGCACATTTTTTTTGAAATCGCACTGCACTGGAATGCAGGGCATTGCAGTACCATGCATTCCAGTGTGGGTGATCACAATGCGGACAAGAGGTGCATTTGGGATACATTGAAATGAATGGCACCGCAATGCACCTCCTGCAGCAAAATGAAACTGAAAATGACTTTACCCACACTATTTATATATATAAACATAACTCAATATATAATCAATAAAGTGCAACATTTATGTTGCTGGAATGTATAGGTAAATAGTCCCAAAGTGCTTGATAGTAGTTGTAAAAGATCGCTTGTGCCACACAGTTATCCCCTTAAGAGTGCACACTCACCACATAAAGATGGATGTAAGCTCACAGCCAAAGTGCTCAGTTGTATGTCAGCAGGCTGCCCAGCACTTTCTTTGTATGTTTCCACAACGATATCCCATAGGAGATGAAGTCCCCGCAATTATAAGAAAAAAGAGCCTTTCATTGCATAGTAAATGGAGATGGGTTTATTGAATAGACTTTAAAAAAAAACTCACATCAATCGTGAGCAACGACCAACCGGTAAAATCAAGAGACAAACAGCCTGCCCTTTCTGCATCCAGTGTAGCGACAGATAGACCCGCCCCTGATGCGTTTCATCATCAAAGACGTCTTCAGGAAGAACATCAGGTCTCTTATTTTTGCACTTTATATATATAATTTTTATGAATCACCATTTATCATTTTGGATTTGATATCAAGTTTGCACTATCAATTTTTTCACAGGGAAAATACAACACTTATTTTTGATTGTGTTATGGAATACATATATATTACATTTTTTATTCATGTCACATTTTGGTACACTATTTGATTTGTTTGATCACTCATGTTTTTCACTAATTATTATTATGATTTAAGGGTAGGAGCACTGCATATTTACTCGCTTATTATTGGACTTTAATTTATACACTATAATATCTATTCACTAATTGGATTGGAAGCTTCCTCCTAAGTGCAGATTTGATATTGCACAATAAAATAACCAACCTTTTATTTGAAAAAACACACCGAAATTTTTTTTCTTTCTATTTATAATTTTAGTTTAACTTAATTGTTTTACTTTATTGCTGGGTGCAATAGCCAGCTTGCTATTGGATATTTCAAATTGCAATAGCAGGCTGGCTATTGCACCCGCCCACAGTCTGCTATCAGCAGAGGATGGACCTGAAGGAGAAAGTTCTCTATCAGAGCCTCCTCTGCTGATTGACAGGCAGTGGGCGGGTGCAATAACCATTGCATTTTAAAATCTCCAATAACAGGCTGGGTATGGTTCACAGCCTCTAGATGCAGAGGAGGTACGGGGCGGGGCAGTTACAGCTGTCTCTCCGCTGCCTCTGCCGATACAGGCAGCGATTGAAAGGGACTCAGACTGCTGCAGCCAGCACAAGCGGGGAGAACGAAGGAACAGAGCGGCGGCAACTAATCCAAAAGCAACCAATCGATGAGAATCGTTGCCAATGATGCTCATTATCGATTAGTTGTTGCAGCCCTAGGTATAATGACTTCAGGACTACAACATATATCTACGTACACTGATCCTAAAGTGGTTACGAATTTAATTTTGAATAATTTTGAGACAGCAGAAGTCATTAAAAGTTGAATGTCTAGTTGAATTCGGGGAAACCACTTGAAACAAAACATTCATTTTGTTGACCTTTTTCAATTGCTTTTGTTTGATTTGTTCATTGCAATAGGAAAATTTGTAAATGTTGCCAATAAACCTCATTTGTGGTGTGATAAAAGTGTGTGGTATATACAGTATAATAAAGGTGAGAATTAGTAATTAGGGTCCAATATCCTCTATCCTTTCCCTCCCCCTCCCCCTCCCTGTGGCTGACCAGCAATCCAGGTGAAACACAAATTATACAGAGCAACCAGAGGGTAAATTTGAAAAGACAGGAATCTTCAGTATCTAATCTGCCACTACCTTTCCTGAACTTTAGCCCAGAATATATGACACATACCCAAGCAAAGTATCAAAGCTTATTCACATAAAAAGATAATTACATGTAGATAAGAGTGAGAAAATGAGTGATTAGACATGTATCAGCCAAAGCCACATGCATCCAAATGGGGCAATTCCCTGGAAAGCATAAGGGCTTACTCGTTAAGATCTAATGCAAATATCATAACAAGACAGACGAAGATGGAAACACCCACAATAAAAAGGTAAATATTTACTTAATGAGAAATGCATGGAAAAGGCAAATGTAGGCATACATGATCTGGATATACTATTGGCATAGTTGTAGTGGTATTAAAAAGAAAGTGAGTGATGCTTAAATGCCCAAGCATATAAGCAGTAAAAGCTATGGAAACAAAAAAGATAAATTCCATGTTCCTGTATCTTCCCTGGAACTGTTGGAACAGCTTTGGATTAGAGTAGCAAATTAAGTTATGTAAGAGCTCTACAATTTATGTACTCTCTCCTCTGTCAATATAGTATTTCTTGTAGTGACGTATGCCTGCATACAGCTCACGTGTACTGTACATGAACCAAACAGTTGAATATATTTAATAACTACTTTCATTGACGATAAGTAAATTCTACAAGATGCTTGCATTACTATGTAGAGCATGTGATGTATTTACGGATTATGCAATTAAGAGTGCATTATTTGTTTTAACAGAGGGAACCTGCTGTTCATCTGCTGAGGAATTTTCATCCCATCACATTATAAACATGTTCAGCCTTATAATAACACAATGCGGAGAGCTGTAGTTTGCTTACATCTAATCCTTGGTAACAGGAAAAGTTTAACATGGATACATGTATGTCGACACCAAGACAACACCTGTGCCCTGCTGGCTACTCGGTTTGCTCATAGGAATTTCTCTATACCGCATCTGCGGTGTTTACTGAAAACAGTGCAAAATGCTTAGTTTATGGATAAGCATACTGAAAATTAAGTGGCTACTGTTAAAGTAGTGGCCGGTCCAAACGCACTGTAGGTCACCAACAAGTGAGTATACGCAGTTTTGCTCTTACCGAGCCGTCACAAGGTTGTGGCGATACCACTCTCAGATTCACACTGCACAGAGCTTTTTCAGCCCGCGGAACAATCTAAGGCCAGCAGACAGGGCGATTGCCACTGGGGTTGGTTAACTCCACAGTTAACCCTTTACCCACAAATAGCTGCCACTAAATGTTCAATAGATTTTTAAAGAAAACAGTAGACATCAGGAAGTGCGGAACACCAATATCAAGGTTAACAACAGATATACCATGACCTGGATGAATGAGAACTTTCACAGACAAAAATTAGCGTACTTAAATTCTGGGATTTGTGCATTCTAGCAGAGTCCAGGTCAATGCAACAGAAGATGGATACGGATGGACATTTCTCCAAGTAAGGCTTGCAATGGTTCTTTTCTTAAAGAGAACTTTGATGTTACCAGAGCATACTCTATGTTAAAACAAGAGCTTTTGGCTGCCTTACACAGTAGCTTTTTGTGGGCCCTCTAGGGAGGGTGATCAGAAAGGCTGAATGCTTTAGGACCTTCTCCTCTCCCTCCGCCACCCACCACCCCCCTCAACTGTCAGTTTTATACTAATAATTATATTTCTATATTTTTACATTTTACCACCGGATAAATCATAAATTATTGTGCATTATGAACTTAGTTTTGTGTAGCTGCTAAATTTGATATACCTGTGAATTTTGTCTGGTTTAGAAGGGTTAGTGTGTGTTTTTAGGCCCCTGGATCTCCTAAACCAATCATGTTCAGTCCAGTCTACAGTCCAATCTAGACTTTAACAAATGCAGCTATATATATTTTTATTAATACTGTATCATCCCCAGGTTCTGAATATTGAGAAAGATTTGGACTTAAGGTTCTTGTCTGGGGTGACATAGGGGTCACTGAGCGTCATCTGCTAATGAGGGATCTGCTAATTGGTGGTTTACAATGTACTGCAATAAAAGGTT